GGTAAAAACACGACTAGAAATAACAAAGGTATATATATAAAAAAAAGCTTACAACCCATTACGGGTGGGGAAATAGGGTTGTCGGCACCCCGCCAGCCCTTCAAGTTAGACCCATTGTCGTGCTTGCCAACAAAACCAGAAGGGGATAACCCCTCGGGCCCCTCAACCCCTCGGCTCCCTCCACCATGCTCTGCTGCCTCCGCACCGGCGTCCGCTGGTCTCGACCCCCGAACCTCCGTAGTAGTAGTCTGATGCCGTAACCTATAGGGTTATGCCCAAGCCTAAGACCCACGTCCGCGGAGTACCATACAAGGCAGTGCGGCGCGGCACTATGGGCCAACAACCGGCTGCGCGGCTCCCATTTGCCTGCGCCGGCTTGCTTATATAAGTACCAATCAAAAGAAAATATCCTTCATTCCTGCTTAATCAAAAATAAATAAATAATAACAATAAGCAAAACGACCGAGGTCCGGATCGGCCTTACGATCAATAACAGAAAAGAATCACGCGCGCCTTAAACCTGCGCGCCCACGCACTCGCTATTGTGGTCAACCACCTAGTCAACGCAATTACAGACGCAACCGCGCTTAGCGCGGTATACTTAAACCCTAGATTACAACTATTTTCTGTCACTTGCAAAAACCACGGCGGATACCCTTGTAAGGGTATTCGCACCGACAGCGGGGGAGGTGAGGGCGAAGGTGCTTTGTCGGAGGTGATGGCCACGTCCGTGGGTAACATTGGAGAGTGTCGGTGAAGAGGACACGTACCTGGTGGAGGAAGAAGTGGGCATTGGTGTTCACATCATCACTCGCTGGTAGTGAAGTTGTCTGGTTACTTTCATTACTGTAGTTTTTGGTTTAGGTTGTAGAGTAGACAGGGCGCCTTGCGCCGTTCACAAGAGAGAGCTACATTGGGTTGTGTTGTTGGTGTTCGTACTGAAGTTTGTGTTGGTAGAAGTGGGTATTGGTAGTCAAGTTGTCTGGTTGCTTTCATTACTATAGTTGTAGGTTTAGGTTGTAGAGTATATAGGGCGTCTTGCGCCATTCACAAGAGAGAGCTACATTGGGTTGTGCTGTTGGTGTTTCCCTGTTCGCCCGACCTGACTGACAATTCTTCTGTATCATTTTCAAATGGGTGCTTGCTCGGTTCCATCGTGCTATCTGCTCTGCCTTTTACTACTTGGACTTCATTGTGATTTTGCAATATGGATTTATGTGCTTCGTCCATATTCATCTTCCTTGCATCAATCAATCAATCGATCAATCATTCAATCAATCAATCAATCAATCAATCAATCAATCAATCAATCAATCAATCAATCATCTGAGTCAATCAAAGGACTGTTTGATTGATTGGTTGATTGCTTGATTCTTTGATTGATTGATTGATTGATTGATTGATTGAT